AGTGACTCTATAAATGTATTTATTTATACTTGTTATGATGACTACAGAGAAATATCCACCAAATGCTGAGGCCCCGCTAGGAAAGTTTCTGAAATAAATGGATTTCTTGCATTTTTAGTGTCCATACAAAGAGGCTACACCCAATGCTACAGCTCTTTCTGCAAAGCTGTCCCTCCTCTGCCCTTTTAATATCCTGATTATCCTAAATGTATTTCAGCAGTTTTATTTCAATGGCTGCTTTGATTAATTCCCCACTCAAAGCAATTACCACTGCATTTTAACTGGGCCAATGTTAACCTATTGCTGAGGCACTTCAGCAGTCAGAAAAATCTCTGTGAGCAGCAATAAAATAAAAAAGACAAAAAAAAATGAAAAGCCTGCTGAGCTACAAAAGCCAAAACCTCGGAGTGAGTCAAAAATGCAGCCATTTATCAAAGCCAGTTTGAAGGAATTTTAATTCTTGGCTGGAGGAGCCAAGAAGGAAAGGCTGGAAAGGGAGCATCACACAAGTGCTGGTGGACATGGTGCAGATCTTTCCCCGGGAGCAAGGAGAGGGTGCCAGAGCCTTGGAAGAGCAGCAGACAGAACCCAGAGTCATTTCCAAGAAGGAGCATTTCTCCAAAAAACCCCAGTGGCTGTGCAGGAAGGACTCACTGAGCTTCCAGAGCTGCTCAGAGTTTGGGTGGGAGCCAAACCCCGCGGTGCAGAGCCCAAGGCTCGGGATTGCATCAGGCAGCTCCAGCTCCAAGGGCTCTGCTCCACCTCTGCTGCCGTGGAGGGACGGATGTGGGATCCTCAAAGTGCCAAATTCCCTGGGCAGAACCCTCTCAGCAGCTCCTGATGTTCCCAGTCCTGCTTCTCCACCTCCCTCCTGTCCATCCTGACATTCCCTGCCCTCAGCACTGACTCAGACACGTTATCTGCTGAAATTTGGGATGAACAGACACCAATCCATGATGGGAACGCTGTCACAGCACACTGGTGACTCCTTCGATGGCAAAACCCCGTGTCCCAGAGCAGTGCCAAAGGGGAAACAAATCCAGGAAAACATTCAAAAGTTCAGAAATAAATCCAAGGATGGATTTCCTTAGAGGAAGTACCTATGCTTTTCAAAGAAACCAGCTGCTAAAATTGCACTTTCTGCTCTGAGCAGTTCAGATCAGGACAAGGGCAGTGTCTGTTTCCAGTCACACRTGTCTTAAAATCCAGACTGCTCCAGGATGGGAAATGCATGGGGGAATTGGGAGTTTAGGYGGAAAAAATCAATTTAAACTGTCAGAARGCAKGGTTAGATGGGATATTGGRATGGAATTGTTCCCTGGGAGGGTGGGGAGGCCCTGGCACAGGTGCCCAGAGAAGGTAGGGGTGTCCAAGGCCAGGTTGGATGGGGTTTGGAGCACTCTGGGACA